AAAGAAAAACAAAGTTGAATTGAGACAACACAGTTTAGTGACTATATTGAAACAGAGAAAAAAGAGTGCATTTCTCATAAAACAAGACAGCATCAAAGCTATAGGAGCATTGCAGAGAGGAAATGATTGAGAGCTGGTTAGATTTAAATGGGAGAGAATAACAAGGGATTGTATAGAGTTGTGATAACAGGATGGTAGGGAGTTTGTGGCAGGTTGAGACTGCAGAAAGGGAACATCTGATGTGAAATTTGGCAAGCAGATGTACAAAAATCACCACAGACCAATCTGAAAGGCATCTATGTCTTTTCAACAGTTAATCTGGAGCATGATGGCCAATGACAACAAAGATGGGGAACTGAAAATGTAGGAAAATACTACCTACTAGCTCATTTTACTGTGTTGGAATTGGCAGAAGCCCAAAGCTGGTCGTGCTGTAAGACACGATGAAGCACGAAAAATTCTGTCAGGCACTGTAGATACAACAAGACTGAGGACAACTGGGACTACAGTCCTGATTTAATGAATCTAGTATGTAGAAAGAAAGATCCAGGCAAAAGTGAGATGGGAACCCACTTTATGTGGTACACCAGAGAACAACAGAATGTCCAGAAGTTTCTTCTGTATGGGAAAGAAAATAGTTATGAAGACACCAATTATTAGGAAAGCTGTTTAGGAAATTCATAAACAAGAATATATTTGAACCCCAGTGATCATTAGCAGCTGGATTTTTCTCAGTCAATTTTGCTCACCGTAGCATTATTTGAAAATCCTCAAATAGGTACCCTAGCCCTCTCTGATGTCAATGGTAACAATGGATATGTTAAGATACCTATTAGAGATCCAACCTATCTAAAAACTTTTCTATTTTGGTATCTTGAGTTTTCCACTGGACATGCATTTGTCTCCTTTTCTATGTCTATGCAGGAAATCCAGTTAACTAGCTTACACCAGATACCTAACTCCTTATGACTAAGTTAAGCAAGGTGCACACTTTCCTAAATTTTATAAGACAGCAGTTCATGGTTCAAGTTCAGCTGTGCTGGAGTTAAGGTTTTGTTGTTAGTGAGATGAAAGAACACCTTGAAACAAATTTCTAAAATCTGATAATGAATGACAATGCAAACAAATTTTTACAACAAATTCATCTTTTCTCAAAAACAATGCATCCTTAGCCATGCAACCTATATTTTCACAAAATTCCTCTTGAGAAGCATGGAGGAAGTGGAGAAGTTAAACTTACAAAATAGTCTTCTATTATGGGACACAAAGAGCTTATAAAGCAAAAAACATAAAATTAGAGAATTTTATTTCTTTTTCAAGAAAGAAGACTAAAAGTAGAAAACAATGGATTTACACCAAATTTTTGAAATATTTTAGCAGCCAGCAGGAAATATGGTGAATAATGGTAAAGTAGCATCTGCAGGAAGAACACATGAATTTCTTCAGTTAGTACAGAATACCATGAAAAACTTACAAATCCTGTTAGGACCATGCCAGGGGAGCATATTGACAGGTAGTGGATCAGTGCAAAGTGATTCACATCAAAAGGAACCATTTTAGTGATACACATGAAAATAATCAGGAAAGCAAAGATATATAATGATGGATACATCTGCTTATTAAGTAAAACTGTTCCATGAACAGAGATAGAAAAAAGCAGGATGTAGGCTGTACTGAGATAAAGAAAGAACATAATGCTGAAAACAATATCATGTTATGTAAAACAGGGAAGCATCCTCCCTGTGACCATGGCATTCAGTTCTGATCAAAAAATCTCGAAAAGTGTGGAAATGGCTAAGCAAAAATTATTAAAGGCAAAAACCCCTTGTTTATGAACAGAGATAAAAAGGATACTGAATAAAACAGGAGTGCAAACAACTGCCTGCTTTAGAAAGCCATTGCAATTTCTAGGAGAATTCTTGGTGCTCCTTAGATTAGCAAAATGTTGGAAATAGTAAAATATCTGAAGTTTTACCTACTTGTAATTTGAAGAGGAACAATACCTACTGTGGGTAGTTGAAAGAACATAAATCAAACCTGTCTATTTATACTTAAATACAGGAAGAGCAGGACTACATCAGACTTGCTTGTGTACATTGAAAATCAACCTATTTACAGTGCAGGAAAAGAAGCACTGCTTTACACTGCATGTAAGTATTCTATGAACTCATTTCCATTAGGAGACATTCTGGTTTTAGTCTGTCAAGTCTGAAAAAGTTGTATGAATAAATAACACATATAGTATACCTAAGTAAAGCTGACTAACAATATCTGAGGCATTTAAGTCTTCAGTCATCAGGGAGAAAGTAAGTACTAGCATGCATTACTAGGAACTGTAACAACTGGAACAGTTTACAAGGGCTCAATTATTGTGACTCAGCTAACAAGCTGCAGCTCAGTATCATTGCTCTTTTTCTCCTTCAGTACTTGAGATTCCAAGGAAGTGACAAGTTGAAAGCTAAACTAGGACTATCTGTAACTGGAACATTTTTACTACATTATTTATTTCCTGCATTTATTTCTTCAAGACATGCTAGAAACTTTCCCCAAACTTGTGTTGCAATCTCTCCCTCTGCTGAAGCTTCCTTTATCAAGTTAGAAGACACCAAATACTGTGTGACACCATTTTCAAAATCATTTTGAATTCCTGCTGAGCCCTCTGATTTGAAGCACTCACTCAGTTCTTTTGAAAATGATATTTTAAACCTTATGACTTAATATGCTATCATGGGCCAAACACTACAGTTAGTCTAAATCTCTACACAGGCAAAAAAGTAAACCCAAGATCTCCTTAAACTTCGAGCAAATCTATTCACTTTCCAAATGATAGAACAGTTTGTATAGTACCAGCTCAATTGTTTTTCACTGTCCATCAGCATTATTTCTATGAGGAATCTAGCTCTCATGCATCTTTTGTGCTCCCACTGAAATTCACTGAAAATTTTCTCTGACTTCTTTCAGTAAAGCCAGAAGAGCCAGTAGAGGGAGCACAAATACATTGAAATAATTTTCTGTGGTTCCTATAAAAACGATAACCTAAACCAATATATTTTTTCATATAAAATTTTCACTACATTTTTTTTTCCTCCCTGATCAAAATACTGTCTTGATTAGACTTCAAGAAAAGCTGATTCAAGGTTAGGAGAATGTGTTGTTTTGTGGCCCTTCTTGGCACCTCAGGACTCCTTGTGAGAAAGAGGCAGGGGCTGAACCCTGTGAAAATAGTATTGGCAAAATAATGTTTTCTACCTCCATAGCACTGCTGGGCAGATCAGCTTAATAGGGATCATCTTTGGCTCTGGCACATAATCTGTTCTCTGCTGACTGATATTTTTGCCAGCTGATCCCTGCACATGAGCACGCAGGTTGGGCAAATAAGTACAGTGCAGCATGATGTGGCTAAGCAGTGCTCTCTGCTTTGCACCTCTGCTCATTCAGGAAGCGTCAGCTTTCCCAGTTCATCCCTTTATGTGAGCCCAGTGCCATGAGCTGTGCAGAAAATGTTACACCTCTGTATCCTCTCTGCCCACTGGCACTACTGGCAGACATTGCCTGGAGGAAGTTGCTTTGCTGCAGGACTCAGAGGGTGAGTTACCCTGCATGTGAGAATGTCTCAGGCAATAATGCACATCCTTTATCCTCCTATTTATACCTACATTTCATGAGTTTCAAATGGGATCTCAGAATTGCTATGATTTTTGAGTGCTTCCCCCATAACAGAGGAAAAGATCTAATCCCTTCAGGGGACTGGCTCAAAAAAACCCATCCCACACATCCCCAGGAAACCAAATGTGAACTGCTGATTTTCATATTTCATTGTCAGGCTTTCCTGTGGTGGAGAACACGGAGCCTGCCCTCAGATCCATTCAGCTTTGTTTGAAACCGTGTATATGCAACCATTGCAAAAGCATTTGCCACTAGTGCAAGTACACTCCCATTAAAGAAAACAGAGTTAGATAAATGATAAGTGCTTTGAAAAATGCCCATGCTACATACTACAGAGGATAGGATGGGGAAAAAGCAGGGAACCAATGGGATGTGAAATGTTTTCAGAACAAACAAAAAAGTGACGTTAGAGATCCATAAATTCTCTACTTCTAAATTTGAAAAAAAAAGAAAAGAATAAATCATCAGTTTGGAATTCAGGTGGTCTGGGATACTCAGCAGCACACAGGAAGTTGCTCCCTGTGCCTGGAGGTGTCAGCAGGAATGGCAAACAAGCACAACCAGCAGTAGGAATGCTAAACAGAATATTTAAGTGAGGGACATTTTTGTAAGTACCTCTTTGGTAATCCCATTTGATGTGTTTTCTGTCCTCAGTTTCCCCTTTCTGAGATAAAAGATAGGACTACAATTCCTTGCTCTACAGATGTAGGCAAAACTAATGGACTTGACTCTAGAGTGCTATAAGAAGAGCTACAGAAGTGTTTTTGGACTTCAGTGTGGTCACTGGATCCATCCTTAAGTCTGTCAACTACCTGCAACCTTACACTGAGTAATAATTTCTACAGAATACTTTCTGTCTATGCAATTATACATAACTATATCTGATTTTCCAGTAAGGAAATCTAATAAGATTTTATATTTTCCCTTGTTTTTCCTTCATGTTCCAAATAACTTCAAGCCCCAGTCTACTAGGTGACCACTAACTAAGGAACTAAACTTTATAGGCCAGATGGGCCAGATGGATCTCCTCTGTCTCATTCCTACTGCATTTTCATTGCAGTAAACATCTCAGTTGGTCCTATACTGACCTTGAAAAGAAAAGAAAAAGAATAAATAGATAATTCTTGACTGTATAAATAAATTATATAATAGGACATTATTAATTACTACATATACAGTATGCAGTAATACACTATGCAGGACAGAATTAAATTTTTAAATTAAAGGTGGTAAACAAGTGGCGGTTTTTAGAGAGGCCATGAGAGTGTCTCCATGAGGAGCAGAAAATTTCAGTGTGTCTGTTTTGATAATCATTCAGGCTACAGACAATTTACCTGCTGGCCTGGTTTGAGCGGCGATAGTGTTATTCCCTGGGTATTGATCACTGGCAGTATCTGGTTGCCGATGACAGTGGCGATGATCTGACCCTGGGCATTGGTCAATAACTGTGGAGTTATCGGCTGCACCTGAAGTCCCTGAGCTCCACCTGCCGCCTGGCTGGACGGGACTGGATTAGGCATCAGTGGGATTGTTCCAATAATCTGGAAGAAACAACACAGGGAGAGTGTACGCATGCCACATATACTCGCCACACGTAATTCCTTATATTCTTCCTGTTGAATCAAACTTAGGTGGTAAAAGCACAGAGAGACTGGTAAGACAGGCTGAGGGTGGGAAACAGTCATTCCTTCACTGGGGTGATGAGGACTTTCCAATTCATTTGCCACATCACATATCACCTGTACATTTTACCACTGTCCACTGTCACCTGCAGCAAATCTGCTGTGGCTTAAGAGTGCATAAAGCAAATTGTGGGCCACACTCTGGACCTTAGATTATGGTTTCTTTCCACTATTAATTTTAACACAGAGTGAGATAGATAAAAGTATCAGTCTTTTTGTCTTCCATATAATGGTTTACTAGTGGGACTTATGTAATTATACTTGATTTTCTGATACCTGGCACTCTGGATGACCACCTTTTACTCCCATGTGGTCTCAGGAAGACACAAAGGGATACTGGTGCCTTTCATGGCATGCCTTATTAAGATACGTTCATAGAAATGCAGCTGGTTTTGGATGACAGCTATGAAGTACAACCCAACAGGAGGGCTGATGTTAGATAAAATATATTAGCTAACATTTCTGGGGCAAGTAGTTGCAGAAAGAGACACTTGTGACATCTCAGACTTGAGAATACAGTGATTTCCTAAAATGTGAATGTGCCTGTAAAACTAATATTAGGATGAGATGTCAAACAGATGTCGTAAGAAAGCTTGTCAGTCAATAAGCTGCTAGGCTGGAAAAAGTTATGCTGTTGCAAGATTCTTTTTACAGGTATTAGAGAATCTGAAATGAACTTCTGATGAAACTTGGGCCTAAACCCAAACTTTTTTTTTTTTTTTTTCCAAACAGCAACCTACAAAGCTGGAGTCATAGGATTGTTGCAACAGGAAAAATAAAAAAAAGCATATCACATCTGTATTTCCTTCACCTTCTCCTCTCTCTTCATCATAGCCTTGCTGAAAACACCTACTCCATCATAATACTTCCAGTCTGCCCTTTACAGAAAACTTGCTTCTTCCTCTTTATCCTCAGCATTCACCACACTATGTTGTCCATTTTGACTCCTACTAGTACAATTCCATTTTTTTCCTCAGTGGAGATAAAAATATTACAGTTTTCCACAGTCTGTCTGCTGGTTCTCATTCCACTTGGGGGCTTAGTTATCTTTTTAGATCTCTTTGTTTCTGACAAATTTTATAGAAATTAATCAGCTGATTCACAAACCATTAAGTAGGTATGGACAGCTGAATGAATGGAAAGAAAAAGAGATGCATACATAGCACTAGACACAGGGAAGCTTTCTCATGAAAAAAAGCTGAAGTGTTCCTAATGAAACTCAAAAGCAAGTTTATTCCCCAAAAATATATATAAAACAAAACATATAACATTCCTATTGATTTCAACAATTAATTTTTATACTTTATCAATGGAACCCATCCAAGACAGTGTAAAATTAGGTCTAAAATAACTGTTTAGTGAAAACATCAGTTAGCTTTTTGGGCAGACCACTAAGTTGCTTTATGAGAGTGCAAAAGTAAACTCCTCTGAATCTCTTGCTGTGGATATAAAATGAATACAGGTGTGAAATGCATGGTAAAGAGTAACAAAGATATGTGAAGACCTCTGCCTACTGAAATCACCAGTGGTGACATACAACAACCCCCAAAAAATCCATTCTTAAAAAAGCACCATGCAAAGATATCCAAGTAATTCAGGCATAGCAGGAGGGACAGGTGGCTGTCATCACCCTCTCCCATTATTAGGCTAAGACATGACTCCACTGAGTGACAGGATCCTAATGAGTGGCTGTTCCTTCAGCAGTCACACCCAGTGATGTGCCTCTAGGTAGGCTCAACCATGAAGTACCAGGTGACAACCTACACTGACTCCTGGAGCAGGAAGAGTGCACTGTTGGCTATGGCACCTCAGGAAACAAGCAGTAGTTGTCATCAATTTGCCAAACTTGCCCAGTTAGAAGGCCTTAGCATGGGAAGACCAGAAAACCATGAAGTAAAGCAGGGCAGCTCTCCTGTGGGAGAACCTGATAAAATGGCAAGCCCAGCTACTAAGCTGTATTGTAAGAGCTGCATATATCAAGACTGTTCAAAAGACTGTAAAGATACAATTTAAGTTCTTAATGCATTGCTAAAAGGTAGACAGATCAATAAAGATTATTACCCCCATTTTATGGAGCATGAAAGTGAAGCACAGTGAAGCATATTCAGTTAGCCTTCTAAGCTGAAATTTCCTGAGTGTTTCTCTTTTCAGCTCACAATGATTTTTTTTAATTTTATTTTATTTTATTTTATTTTATTTTATTTTATTTTATTTTATTTTATTTTATTTTATTTTATTTTATTTTATCTTGTCCCTAGCTGAATGGCAACTGCTTTCCTGTGCATGTGAGAAGATGGCTATTCGCTGAGGGGAGAGGCATTTATTTACATCATTATCAGATTTAAAATTGTTTTCTAAAATCAGACTTTCAGCATGAATGAAATACAACTGCGGTGCAGTGCAACACATAAATATCTCCCAGTTTTTGTGACCTAACATATTTATGAGTAACAAATATATTCTTTCACTTTTAATATAATCTCACCAAACACAAGAAATAATCCTTCTTAATTTTATCAGCAGAGACATATCAAAGGCCTCCCCTTCCTTTGCCATGTCTGTAAAGGATGTAACCTTGGACTGTCATTACTCCAATGTAACTTTAACTATCAAGGTCCTAATCCCAGCAAAGCAAAAAATGCTGCGTTGGTGTTATCAGTAATAGAAATGTTTGTATTCACATTTAAAATGCATTTCTTGGACTACAGTTGGACATTTCACAGAATGACAATGCTGAAGTGGACAGTTTGTAAGGTCAGAAGCAGAAGGCTATCTATATGTATTAATGTGTGTCACACACCATACTGTACATGGCGTGCTGTCCATGCACACAGACAGAAATGGAGCAGGAAAAACACAGATGGAAGAGGTGTTTCAGAAGGGCAAATAAGCAAATGTCCTCAGGGGTGTTACCATAGGACCCAAGGGTAAATCTTAATTGAAAACAGAAACTTACTGAGGTTTAAGAAGATTTTATTTCCTTTTTTACCAAAGTAAATTCTTGTCTGGTTAAGAAAAAGATATCCACTTGTCTCTACTTAAACAACAGGGCTACTCATTACTGCATGCAGCTTTGAGATGACTAAAATTGGATTCAGGTTTCCCCTTTCAAGTTTCTCCTTGTCCAAATACCCTCTCCTAAATACCCTAATTGCTCACTGATTCACACATAAGGAGTACTACAACTGGATCCCTTCCTTAAACCTTGTGTGACTGACGTGATGCTGAACCACATCTCTCTCCCCTCTAATTTTGGTATGAAATTTCACCCTGGGCCTTGCTAATCTGTCCTCTTAAATTATTGTACAAGTAGAAGACAATTTATGGTTTTGATACATTTGAATTTTGTCAAGAAATAAAGCAAGGCAATGCCACAGGCTTGAGGCACTGGCGTGCCACAGTACAGACTATTTAATTGCCAGTGATTTCCCTAGTCAGGAGGCATTGCTCCTTTCTAGGAAATGCTGCTACTTCAGATTATATTCAAAGATGGTTCAGGAATAACATGTGACAGGGACTGATCCCAAAAGATACTTACAGAGTCACACTGAATGGTTTGAGTTGGAAAGGGCCTCTTAAAGACCATCTAGTTTAATTCCCCAGTCATGGGTGGTGATGTATTTCACTAGATCACTTTGCTCTAAGCCCCATCCAACACTTCCACAGTGAGAACACATTCCACAATGCTGTGTCTTCTCTCAGACAAAGCAGAATAGGCTTCTTACTCTGGCAGTGCTTGGACTCGAATTCTTAAACAATCCTGCTTGTCAAAGATGTTCTTGAAGAAAAAAAATCCCACATCCCTAAAAGTCCTCATGCTACAAAAGTATAAATTTAAATGTTTTGAGAGTTTTTTCCATGTCTTTTCGGTTCCTTTTATACATCATACAACTGAAAGCAAGCACTGTTCACAAAGGAACTACAAAATAGGTGTCATATGCAAAACAGCAATAAGACAGTTTTGAAAGCCCAAAGGTTAATTCAAGGAATTCCCTTATCAATACTTGTCTAAGAGAGTTAGGCACAGTAATCTGCATAGCACTGTTGATTAAAATAAATGACACCAGGTTGTATCTTTATGAGGTACAGGTTCCTCATATAAGTACAAAATGCAGTGCAGGTGGAAACTGTACTGAGATATTTAATGTAAATTCAGACTTCAAATTCTTTAATGGAGAAAGGGTTTTGCCCTCCTTTACTAATCAGAGAGACTTGCCCTCTTCAAGCAACAGAGTGTTGCCAGAATTCTTGCTGGAGTCAGACTATCACTTCAAGTATTCACTATGTTTCTTTCCCTTTTGTTCATGGATTAATAGATACATCAATTGTATCTATTAATGTATCAAGCTGCTTAGACAAGAGTTTTTGCAGAAATTAATGTATTATTTTTCTGCTTCCCAGTATTAGCTATGTTTTAAAAGTCAGTTGTTTGTTTCTAATTTTAAAAGAAATCGGGGGTGATTTTTAACAGCATCTGAATATTTTCTACTGATTAAATCTATTAGTGTGATTTTAGCACCCTAGGATTTCAAGATATCTGACATTGGATCTCTCAGATCTTACAACTTGAACCTACCATTGTCAAGATGATTTCTGCAATAAAATTGTAGGGCTTGGCTTGCACATGAAAGTAATTTGTCAGCCTACACCTTCATACCTTCATTGGGTGTGGACCCAATGGTCTTTGCCTACATAGTCCTGCAAGCAGCAATGAAAGAATAGCACACATTTAAAGTGAAGGTAAAATCCCAAGTAATGGAGCTGACCACAGAGGGGGAAAATCCCAAATCCTCAGTATAGCAATAATTTCTCTGAATATCACCCCCCATGGCAGGGTAATGTCCTAACACTGCTTAACT